ATAAATTATAAATCAATACGAACAAAAGAGTTTATACATAAACTAAATATTCGTACTTAGTTAATTACAACTTTAATATAAATTAAAAAGATAATTTAAATCCGTTCAATTTCGCTATAACTTCTTTCAAATAAATTATACATGTATAAAATAATTAGAAAATAAAAGCACATGACAAGTTGGCTGAATGGATAAAAGAAATAAGAAAAACATTATAAAAGAACAAAAAATAATTATAGACATTTAAAAAAATAAAAAAAATTAGTAAATGAAATTAAAATTATGTTGGAGAATAAAACATAAAGAAACAAACTCACACACATTATTTCATTACTGAAGAGACTAAGGTTGTTTTTTGTAAAGTCAAACAAATATTTTAAAAAATTTAAAAAAATCATATTCTTATATGCCAGAGCATAAATATATATTAATTATGTGTAAATAAAATGTTTAACTTATACAAAACATACCTGTAAATATAAAACTTTAACATATCAGTATAATACATAAATCTAGTAAGATTGCACATTGATACTATAAATAGCTATCAAGTCATGTGATTGTGATGGTCAATCAGGATTCGTAACACCGGTCGCGCTTCTCTGATAATCTAGCTCCAGCCAACGATGCTATTATTTATCGTCCTGCAGAATTCGATGATTTTGTCTCGCTTTTTATCTCCGTATATTCTTATCGCAATTTCTCCTACGCGTGTTCTCGGAGGTTGTGGTCGCCGTGATTAAAGTATTCACTTTTATGTTTAACTTAATGCGACATTTATTCTTTATATTTATAGATAGAATTTTTGTGTGTTATGTAATTCTTTACAATGTGTGTGTTGTGTAGGTATTTGTATATGTTCGGATTACTTTTGTTGGTCCTGAAAAGGACCGATGGAAGTGGTACCGGAGTCTAGTGTCTCCGCTCGCACCACGAGATATGAGGTAATGCTGTTGTGAACCATATGATGTCGTCCGCTGCCGGAGTTTGAGTGGCCTTATCGTAATCGTATATATCGGCTGTCTGCGTGGCCTTTGCAATGGAGTTGGCTGATGACGGCTTCGTCTGGGTAGCTTTATCCAATGTACGTCGTGATTCCAAATCAGAGTCCGACGGTAATGGAAAAAGAAGATTCGGCAATTGTAATTCCTGTATAATTATCTCCGGTTTCTCTAGAATTCACCGAGGCGATGTCGGCCTTCGTCGCCGAAGATCTTTCTCGTGTAGACTCAGTCTCCTTGCCACAGGTCCCAGATTTAATGGAATGAGCTTCCACTCGTTGCTGGTCTCGATCCGGCTCGCTGTTTCTACAGGACTCTCGAAGGGCATATTCCGTCGTTTTGATGCTACTACCTTCTTAAGCCTTGTCGCCTTTCGTGCTGAGGCGATGGAGCCCTCGGCCAGGCCATAACGATGCAAAATAGTTGGCAGCAGCGTGACGGTTATAGCTTCTTGTGATATATCCAAAACAGACTCTGTGTAGCTCAGCAGCTTAATCGCAGTCCACGATGTCTGTATACTACTAAAGCACCAGGTCTGCTTAATCTGCGGAAAGCTGGCCTATTTATTATCCCTCTAAACTATTTTTACATACGCGAAAGTAATAATTTTCTGGCCTCCTATCGGATTATTACGAAAATTCTTTGTTTTTCTTCAAGAGCGCTTGCGAGAAAGTGGCCAAGGTAAGCGCTCGCGGGAAAGCGCGCTGTATGCCGAGTGGCCTTAGTACAGACGCCTGCCGTACGATATATATTGCATGTCCGGCGCGTGCAATTATGTGGCACAGCCATATCGCCACAACATAATACGATATTAAATTAAAAAAATAAAATCTTAGTGGTATTACTTTAAATGTATAATACGATCTTGAAAAACACTGTTATTAAATTAAAAAAGAACCCAAGACATTATCTTCATGTATAATACGATTATGAAAATTTATTTTGTAAATAATATACCTCGAAAGAAGCTGTTTTATCAAATTAAACAAATAAAATCCAAGTTGTGTTATCTTCAATGTATACATGATTTTCAAAAAAATTCAATTTTAAAAACCAAAAATATAATACCATAAAAAATTGAAATCAAAATATTAATTCAAGTATATTTATTGTAATTATATTAAACAAATACAATGTTGGAAACCAAAAAAGCCGTAACTAAAAAAATGTAATATTGGATACAAAAAAGCTAAAAAATGACATGAAAAAGAAGTGAAATCAAAGTGTTATTCCAAATATATTGATTAGAATAATTAATATCGTAAGGTATATCTCGAGAGATAAACCGCTGAGGGCATTGTGGTGTACCAATTCGAGGCAATTGCTAGGTATTACTGGGCATTGCTTGGGCATTACTGAGGATTAGTGAGCATTACTTATAGTGGGAATTGCGGGTGGCCTTAGTGCACATTATTAAATCACTTACATTTTATTTTTAAACATTTGATAATTGTTTTATATCAAACATATTTATAATATATAATAAAGTGTAAATATTAAATCATGGCGCTCTCATGATGTTATCACGTGGGGCATTACAGTCGGTTAGCGCTGCTATTGTTCAGTGCTGCAATCAGCTAGCGCTCGAATAATGCTACTGCGTCATTTGGATCGAGACGAGTATGTACACGTCTAGCTGTTTCAGCAGAGCGATTCCGTTCAACTTTATAATATTGTACAGTGATATGTGCTATCTGCAGGATAACATCTGTTAAGAAGATCTATGATAAAGATCGATTATTCTTCGCGTGAAAGAAAAAAAGAAGGTAATGTCAGTAAAATAGAGTGTCTCAATGAGTATTTTGAAACATAAGAAAATTGTTGTGTTTTATTTAGTTAATAAGTTATATAATATGTTAATATGTTAATATATTCAATAAAATAATTGTTATTTACAGTGTCAGAAAGTATAAACAATGTGACAGATATAACCTCACATTTCACACCAGTATTTCAAAAAACGATATAGACCGGCGCATCCAGAATTCTTTACTGATATCTGGACTGATATATTCAAAGATACTTTGGAAGAATATTATCTAAAATTAGAAAGAGGTTTGTTTTAAACATTATCTCATACTTATATTTGCAATATTTAATCATTTATTAATATGAAAAATATTACAGATGGCAAACATAAAAATGCAAAATCTCTGATGTCTAAAATGTTTTGTCTCACTATGTTTAGTCAAATGTGCGAAAAACTTTTTCAAACAACTCTATGATTTCCACTTATTCTGCAATTATTAATTTCAATATTAAGGATTTAATTTATCGTATTGATAAGATCAAACAGATAAATACTATAATGAATGATTTTTCAAATGTATTTAAATTTCCCAGAGAAGATAAAAAAATGTTAAAAACACAAAATGTCCTAAAATACGAAGTCATAAAAAACTTAAAAATCAAAGAAATTATCGAGGAAGCTTTGAAAGATGCTATTAAAAGTACCGAAGAATTAGGCATGAAAATTAAAAGTGATACAGATTGGAAATTTGTTGATATTGCTTTGCAAACTATAGATGACAATTGTAAATTTGATGATACAGAACGTGAAATTGATAACAATTGCTCTATAAACGCTAGAAGCACAAATGTTGAGGATGTTGACAACTCAATTTTATTTGAGTCTTGAAGATAATTTAAAATTAGAGAGTCTAGAATTAAAAGACTTTTCAAAACAAATATCACAGAAATCAATAACGAAAAATTCGTCATTCATAGAGATTAAAGTAAATGATAAAAATATGGTTGTTAAAAAATCTTATTGGTTTCTTGATGAATGTAATGGAAAAATTAGTATGGACAGATTACGAAGATTCATGACAGGTAATAAATAAAAGAATAAAAAACTATACAAAAATGCAACCTGAAAAAAAAGCAAAAATATTTTAAAATTTTCAGGTTTTCTAAACAAGATCAAATATGTAATGAATCAGAAGAAGCAAATTCCTTGAAAACAATCCTAAAGTTTGCAACGCGTGTGTATCTGAAATACTATTAGAAAAATATTATGCCGTTTTTTATGACAACTATTATACTATATTGGCCGGGTTGTTGATCATTGTGATAACCACGTAAAAGTAAAGTTTTTAGAAAAAGAACTTTCTTTTATTTGGCCACGTGATGAAGATGTGGCGTGTGTTGAAAAGAAATATATTTTCTATTGCCCAATTGAATTAGTCGGAACCGGACCTTTTGTGTTACAACGTTGTGATTTAGCGGCTATACATAAAAAGTATAAACTAATGAACATTTTGAACTGTAGATTTTTTATTTGTTAAGCGCTTGGGCTTTTCTCTCGAGATTGGATTATGATGTATTTCCTTTATGTATGTACAAATTCTAAATAATATTTTTGTTCGTATTTGTTTGTATTTGTATATAAAAAAGGATACTTTCATTTAGTTACACATCAAAAGTTTATGGCATTTATTTAATAATTATTAATAAATATTAAAATAAGTTTATATAAATTTTGTATTCTGATTATAAATCCGCTAGAGAGATAGAGAGAGAGAGAGAGAGAG